TTTCCTATACAAAACGTTAGGAAATCTGACTGCCCAGCTTTGCCCAGGCTTCTACGCCGCACACGTCACTAGGTGGCGAATGTCAAATATTTACCTCTGATACCACAGTACAATCGAACCGTGAAGGGAACCTCGACGCAACCCGCGCATTTCCTTTGCGCTCTTGCGGATATCCCAGACCCACAATAATAATGACAGCCACCGAACTTCCTCCCACGCAGACCGTAGCCTGGATTGAGAACCCTGGACCCAATGGCAAGCTGGTTATCCGTCGCGACGTCGAGATTCAGCAACCGGCCGAGGACGAAGTGCTGGTGAAGATGGAATGCTCGGGTATCTGTCATTCCGACTGCCATAACGTCCGAGCCATGGGCGTCTACACTGATGTACCGGGACACGAGGGCGTTGGAGTCGTCGTCAAGCTCGGTCCTGGGGTGGCCGAGTCCTTGCTGGATCGGAGGGTGGGCATTAAATGGCTCTGGCGGGCCTGTAATCAGTGCTCTGCTTGTGCTGCTGGCTTGATCAACAACTGTCCTAAGCAGCTCAATACTGGACGCAGTGTGCGCGGGACGCTGCAACAGTACGTCGTCGCGCACTCCCAGTTTGTAACGCTTATCCCAGAGGGCGTGCCGAGCGAAGTGGCCGCTCCTTTGCTCTGCGCTGGACTGAGCCTGGCCGGTGCCGTCTCCAAATGTGCGCCAGAAGTCAAGCCGGGGCAGTGGCTGGCCATTGTGGGTGCAGGCGGCGGATTGGGACACATTGGGGTGCAAATCGCGGCGAGGACGAAAGGTTACAAGGTCATTGCGGTTGACCGTGGCGAGGAAAAGGAGAGATTGAGCATGGAGATGGGAGCCACGGCTTTTGTGGACTTCGCCAAGGAGGACGTGGTAAAGACAGTGAGGTCCTTGACCGACGGAGAGGGAGCACATGCAGTTATATGTGTAGCAGGGTCTGAGAAGGCATATGAGCAGGCACCCGATCTTGTACGGAACAATGGCGTTTTTGTATGCGTTGGCCTGCCACCTCCGACCTTCATGTTCCCAATGTCCCCAATCCAGATTGCCAATAGGGGTAAGTGAATCGTCACCGAGTTCGAATGATGCTGACAATGGACAGGCCTCATTATCAAAGGCTCCTCGACCGGCACTAGCCAGCAGATGGATGAGCTCCTACAATACGCGCTCGAAGGTAAGATCACGCCAAAGGTGGAGGTCTTCGACTTTGACGACTCCCCAAGAATCATTGAGGAGTTGATGCGGTACGAAGTCACTGGCAGGAAGGTAGTGAGAACACCACTGTGACCACGGTTCTCGACAGCTGGAGCTTTGCATTCCCGAACGACATGATTCAGTTCATCCACCGAATAATGCCCCACAAGCGAGTACATTGGCTGGACGTTGTTACCCCGCAGGATAGTTAGCAGGGGCCGAATAGGTACCGGGACCAACCCCAAGTCCTCCCAGTGGGGCATTTCTACGCTTTATATCTGGCAACCCGTTGTACAGTATAAGATAGCAACAGCCTCAGTTAAGCAACATTGGTTTCCCGGCTACAAAACAGACTTGTGCAGATTGGAAGAAGCATTGCCATTGCTGAATCGGTTTCAGTACAACTCTGCAATCTTTTACGACCACTTACTGGATCATTCTCTCTCAACTTTGCATAATATATTTCGAGCCATTGCTTATAAGCATCTATCACCCTTCACCAAGTCATGGCGCCCCCAAGCCTACCACAAACTCCGACCCTGGCGTCTGCACACACTGGAATACCGGAACGTCTGCTCCACAAGGCTACATACGCGAAGTCCCTCATTTATGACGGCAAGACAGTCCCCGACACCTACTCCCTCGAACGTGGGCTGCCAATTCCACAAGGCATATCGAAGAAGGCATTTCTAAGCGCCATTGAAGAATTGAAGTCCGCTATTGGGAATGAAAACGTTCAATTGAACGAGAAAGAGGTCAAGAATGGCTGGTACATGGAGCATCCCAATACGCATGATATGATGCCACTGCTGGACGCCGAAGAATTCATCGCATCGGCCGTCGTATACCCAGGCTCCGTGGCTGAAGTTCAACTAATCGTACGCTGGGCAAACCAGCACCTCATCCCCCTGTTCCCCATCTCCATTGGTCGCAACCTGGGATACGGCGGTGCTGCGCCCCGAGTGCGTGGTTCCGTGACCATGGATCTCGGACGCAGGATGAACAAGATTCTGGATATCAACGCGGAGAATTACACCTGCCTGGTGGAGCCAGGCGTAACGTACTACGCATTGCACGAGGAGCTTGTACGGAGAGGGCTACAGGACAAGATGTGGATCGATTGCCCCGATCTGGGAGGAGGCAGCGTCATAGGAAACGCGCTCGATAGAGGCGTGGGCTATACGCCGTACGGAGATCATTGGGGAATGCACAGCGGACTCGAGGTCGTGTTACCCACCGGCGAACTGGTTCGGACGGGCATGGGGGCACTGGAGGGTGCGAATACCTGGCAGTGTTTTCCGTATGGATTTGGTCCGTATAATGAGTGCGTCAAAGCTTTCCAGGAGCAGCGGAGAAGGAGCAAGCACTTACCGTGAACAGTGGCATCTTCTCCCAGTCCAACTTTGGCATCGTTACCAAGATGGGTATGACTTTGATGCCGAACCCTGGCGGCTATGAATCCTTTGTAAGCCTTCTCCATCTATCCTCGTTCTCATCCTGCTCAATTAGCTCACTCTGCTTCTTCCGTAGATGTATACTTTCCAGCACGACTCCGACCTGGGCCCTCTGATGGATATTATCCGGCCTCTGCGGATATCCAATATTCTCGAGAATGTGGCCCAAGTCCGCCACGGCCTCCAGACCCTCTCCGTAAAAGGGCATCCTCGCACGAAATACTGGTCCGGCAAAGGCCCCATGCCCGAGTCCGTCTACCGTGAGCATCTCAAAGAGACGGCCACGGGAGACTGCGCATGGGTCTACTACGGCATGGCGTATGGACCGCCGCACATCCGCGCGCACAAACTGGCCATCATCGACTCCGAGTTCCATCGCATTGCGGGCTGCAAGAAGATCGACCCTGCGACGATGCCAAAGGACGAATACTTCTGGTCGCGTGACCGCATCGCGTCGGGGACGCCGGATCTCGAGGAGCTCAAGTGGGTCAATTGGATGCCCAACGGGGCGCACATCGCCTTCTCGCCTGTAAGCCCTATCTCTGGAAAGGATGCCGAGGCGTTGTACACCATGGCGAAAAGGAGACACACAGAGCAGGGGTTCGATTTGATGCCAGCATTCTGTGTGGGATTGAGGGAGATGCATCTGATCGTCGAGATTGTGTATGATGCACAGGATGGAGACATGAGAAGGAGGGCGGAGAGGTGTTTGAGGTAAGCAAGAGAAGTCGACGCATCGTGTCTTTTCCTGCCCCTGTTACCGAACTTGATGCTGACTAGGTGGCCACAGAGATATGATCGATGACGCAGCAGCACTGGGATATGGCGAATACCGAACGCACCTTGCGCTCATGGACCAAGTCGCCGCAACGTATAATTTCAACGACGGGGCACTAATGAAGTCAGTACTCCTCAAAATTCTCCCCTTCTTATCTCAACTTGGGCTGGTGCTCTTGACATTTTCGTTCTGATCTTGGTTTCACAACCGCTAACGACATTCAACCTACAGGCTCAACAATACACTCAAAGACGCACTGGATCCTAACGGCATCCTGGCGCCTGGTAGATGTGGTATATGGCCGGCCAGATATAGAGGGAGAGGATGGGAGTTGACCACTAAGGATACGGGAAGGAGCAGCGAGGGTGACGGTGTCGCGAAGAAGGCTGGGGAAGTGAAAATCTGAGGGAAGGATCCCAACCAGGGACCGAGAAAAAATGGCAAAGCATATGCAGATAGGAGAAACGTACTCACGCCTTTCCAAAGGCATTAGCAAAAAATCTCCACCGACTATTTTGACTATCCGACGACCGATCTCAGTGAAGATGCCAATCATACTGATTATTTTTCGGGGGGCAACTCGATCATCTTCCACATGGTCGATTATTCTTTCCACTTCCACGTGGAATTCCGATGGATGCGGTAGTCACCGCTCTTTATCGACTTGTAGATGCCCCATATTCCACCAAATGGCCAGATAGATCTCAGGCGCAAGGCCCAGTCCGAGCGCTCCTGTTCTTTGATCTTTCGCATGTCAACGTAAACCTTGTCGTAGACATCCGGGAAGGTTGTAGCGCGGTATTTCTCCCGCAGGCCGTCATACCAAGGCTTATCAAACTGGGCCCAGAATTCGTCACGGCTGTAGTAGGTGTGCCCATACAGCCACTTCATGCCGCCCATTGCTCGAAGCGTTTTTTCGAGCTGGCGATTCTTAGCCAGAAACTCTTCCTTGCTGGTTGGGCCGAACCCCCACAACCCGATATTGAGCATTTGGTCGTCGGCCAAAGCACCCTTGGTATGCGGATGCATGGTCGGCTGGGGACTCTGCTTTAAGGGGCACAACCAGATGGGCCAAATATGCAAGGCGCTGTCGGTATACTCGATGAACTTCTCTGCGTTTGGATACGGTAGCGCCATGTCCTGCACAACGTACCGGCTGCTCTCTCCACTGGCATGCAGAGCGCGATACAGCATGCGAGTATGCAAGAAGTCGTCCAGGAACCAACGAGTGTACTTGTTGAACGGGAATTTCATGTAATTGAAGGCACTCCGGCCGACCCAGAACCCACCCCGGTCGTATCGGAACATGTACTCAGCGAGGGGAATATATTCAGTGAAGGGAGATGTCGTGTTTTGGGTACGTTCTTCAACATGCAAGTAGAACCAAGGATCCCAAGGGCCGCTGAAGGTTTGCGGCTTGACGTTGGCTGGGATTTCGTCCGTCATCTGACCCGTAATGATCGCGCCGTGATCTTTCGAGAAGAGTATCCCATCAACGTAGTCGTTTTGCTCATTCTTCGTCTCTTCTCTGACCTTCTCGACTGCAGCTGCTATTGACTTTGTGGGGTGATAAGTCGTCTTGACGAATCTCTGTGCTTTGATGAGCTGGAGCTCTACAAGGGTAGTAACGCCCAGTGTCCCAACGGCACCTGCAGCTCCACGGAGGAGGTCTTCGTTCTCCTTCTCCGAAGCCGTGACCACTTCACCATCGCCCAGGATCATTTCCACAGAAGTGACGGTGCGGTCGAAGAATCCGTACTTGAAAGAGCTGCTCTCACCAGCTGTTCCCGCGTATCCGCCACCGACAGTGATGCCGGGGAACTCCATGACTACAGGAGGAACCAGTCCGTGGGCTAGTGTAGCTTCCACCAGATGATCCATGGGGACGTTGGGCTCAACAAAAGCCCTTTTCGATGTTGGATCGACTTGGACGACATTTTTCAGGGCACTGATGTCGACAACCCGTCTTTTGACGTTGGGACGCGTGCTGTTGGTGGACCCGTGCGATATCCGGAATGGTTCCTTGCGGGTGAAGTAATCCTTGACGGTTGCGGCCACTCGGGACACCAATTTGCGGTGGGCTTCCATACCCTACGGTAGCGAGGGGAGATAAAAATAAAAGGAATGTATAAACAAGCGAATGACAAGGCCAATTATTGGCGTTATTGATACATTATGGGTGGTTGAATAATGCTTGCTTTGACGCTTCTGGGAGGGACGACAATTTTGTCTAAGTGACCTAGGCCAGATCAGGGATAGAGGCTCCCCTTTTCTATCGCAGAGCATGGCTTTTAACCTCGACCGTCTGCTTGAAAAATAATGATAAAAATATCCCAGAGTTCATCAAAATGGATTGCTTTCGAGGGCAACCTTAACTTTTGCCTACCTCGACTGTCCAGAAGTCGGAACAGGCTAAGGGGGCAGCATTACAGAAAGCATATACCTATGCATGCAATATCAACGTATCATCAACTCTCCGTCGCAGCGTCCACAGGAGAGGCTACAGCTGTAAGGGTGCCATTGACGGTCTGTGTAAAAATGAAGCAGTTGGACCCTGGGAAATGCAATAATGGCGGGCCGTGAGGTTTGCCAAGGGTTTAACGACTGCATTCTATTGCGCGGTGATGGCGCTCATATACCCACTGGCTCTCAAACTTATACATGTACGTTCTCAAACTTGTTCGGCCACCCCGTGCCGCAATAAATAAATCCCTCATACTCGACTTGTACTAGTAGTCGCCATGAAGTGCTCAACGCAGGCAGTGTGCCATATCTATCGCTCAATAACCCAACGATGCCCATCAATAACAACTGATACGTAACAGTGCGCCGTACGCTTGAGAGACACAGAAACATCCCCAGACTAGTAGGTATGCTCGCAACAAAAAAGGGCCAGGTGAGAAAAGCAACCTTGGAAGCAGACCCTCTCCCTGGCCGAACATACTATACTCTTTTCCTTCCATCACTAACATAGATGCATACGGCCTGGAGAATAACACAGGCACTCACTCATTCCATTTCCCTTACTCCATCTCCCAATATCCCTTATATTTTGGACCCACTCAGTAATACTAATAATGATAATCATACGATAAACGGAACGACCACAAACGTTTCATATCCACCCAGGGTATATCAACAAAAAAAGGTCCACTCTTTTCCGCCTCCAAAAAAGTCCGGAAATCGTCCCCCATGGCTATGCTATGGCCAATGCATTTACCAACCTGCAAGTCATCCCACCCCCTTATGATAGCCATGTCGTCCGCCATACATCATAGATATAATCTGCCCTCGATCAAGTATCCATCGGTAAACTGCAAAATATCAGAGACAGAAAGCGGATGCTACAAAAGCAAAGGTGCAAAGAAAACTCCCAACCCCTCCGCTCATTACGCTCGTAAGTGAAAAACAACAAAACCCAATCGTCCCATCTGCGTCCTTGCAATCGTCACCAACAGCACCATTTCCCCTACATGGATCCCGCCCCAGGAAGCAGCATCTCGAGGCACTTGGTCAGCAGACTGCTCGCCTCGTGCAGCAACTCCCACCTCGTCTTCTTGAAGATGTCGCGCATAATGATCAGCATGCCCAAGCACGCGTTGCGGTTTTCCGTCTTCTGCAGATCCTCGGGTGTCGCCACGCTGCCCACACGCCGCAGGAACAAAACCATGTCCTTCACCTTGTCCTCGTACGTTGGCAGCTGGTAAGGCACCTTGACCGGGCCGTCGAGCGCATATCCATACGACCACACGATGAGGGTTGCAAAGTAGAGGACCCAGGGTCGGTTGAGCAGGTCGTCTTCTCGAGCCGAGTAATGGATCTCGAGTGGGATATCGCCGTTGTTTTCGCTCGGCACCAGAACGCTGATCAGGAAGCGGAGAGCATAGAACGTCGCATCCCGAGCGCGCGCCGTCGGCGCCCACTGCTCCTTCATCCTCCTCTGCGCCCCGTTGTAGTCCTGCGGGGTGATGGACCGCCCGAGAAGTCGGCTCGCGCCGGCATAGATCTGGCAGTCGACAATGTCGACATGCATGGCCATGTGCGCAAGGTGGTGGAGTACAGTGCGAGCCTCGTTGGTCTTGTTGTCATCCGGGGTGGAGCTCGAATACCCGTTCCCACCTCGACCGGTGGGACGATGCTGCATCGACGACTCAAAGTCGGTGTCCCAGAAGTCGAACGCACGTGTCAGCGAGCCTCGCCACTTGTCCCGTCCACCCAGCGCCTGCGACACCCCCAAAGAGCTCACCTGGAGATCTCGCTGGTTCATGTGCCAGGACACGCTCAGCAACCCAGCCATGATGATGGTGCGCCCAAATGGGTTCGTCTTGACGCTGTGCCCGTTGAGCGTCTTCTTCAGGCCGTCCAGGAAGGTCGTGGGCTTGAAGCCGTGAGACTGTAGCGTCTGCTCCATTCGTGCCACCTCGGCGCCGCTGGTCGCAGCCCACATGTGCTCATCGCATGGCAATGGCAAGCGCATCTCGTGCGCCACCATGACTGCACTGTGGCCGAACATGGTCGCGTGTATGCTGTCCATGACGAAGGCTCCGAAAGCCGCCCTTCTGGTTGCCTCGTTGGTGATCCAGTGGTTCCACCAGTCGTCTGCCGTGTTGACTCCACTCCCATTGGTCTTGCCATCATTGGCGCTGGGCGGAGAGTCCAAGGCGGACCTGCCAATCAAGGAGCTTCCTCGCCTCATCAGCGTCAACGTGGTTGCATGATGAATGTGCGCGCGCTCGTGCAGCGGACGCGTCGAGTACATCTTCTCGAACACCTCGAGGAGAAGCAGCGCCTGGAATACCCACAGCTTGGCAGGCGGGCGGAAATCGGCATGTTGGAAGATCTCCCAGCGCAGATGCCACGCCAGGAAGTTGGACAGTGCCGCGCATGCCTGCGTGATCTCATGACCGTGCGTCTTCTCGAGGCGCGTGGCTCCCAGACACATGATGCAGAGTAGGAGCAGGTCCGGACAGGCTCCGGCAGTGAAGGTGGGCTTGTGGAGGATGGGGAACTGCGGGTGGAAGTGTACCCAGTAAGAGCTGATGTACGTCTGCATCATGTGCAAGCTGAGGACGTGGCTGTTGTCATCCTGGTTCCCTTCGAGGATCTCGTCCTTCTGCTTCTTGACGGGTGCGTGGTCCGTCTCATTGAAGCGCACAACGATCAGATGCAGCAGGTCTTTGCGCTTCTCATCCGACAAGGCGCTCTCCGGGAGGGTGGTGTCCAGGATGCTGTGGACGGCCATGGGGTGCGAGGGAGGGACTGGATTGTAGTAACCCGTCACGGTCGGATCGTAGTTGAAGTAGGGAGCCTGCAGGCCGATCTGCGAGGAAGCCGTCGGGTTAGCGGCGTTGTAAGCCATGGGCGAGGCACCCTGCCCCCCGAACGCCTGATCGTTGAACAGCCATGCAGTGAAGTCGTCGGCCATGGCGAAGGGTGACCTGCTATATCCCTCGCCACCGAACATGGGCACGGCAAAGGCGGGAGCGCTGCTATCCATCATGGCGTCCGACACGGCATTCATCCTGTTGTCCATCTGCGAGGTCGACTCGACGCCGTTCATGGGGGTCTGTCCGGTGGTGCCATTGTAGTACTGGCCGTTCTGGTCCCGGGGCGCAGGTGTACTTGCCGACTGAGGATACTCTGGAGGAGGCAACGCGGAGAATGGGGGAAACGCCTGGTGTGGCTGATAAGCGCTCGCGGAATTCTGATATGTGGTAGAAGCAGCCGAGGGTGGATACGACTGGGTCGGGGTGGCCGAGTTGCTGTAATGCGAGCTTGATTCGTACGAGTTCAGGTTCGATGTCTGCGCCCGCAGCTCCGGCCGCTGAAAGTTGGCATTGCTCAGGTGCGGCGAGTTCTGTACGGTGCCGCTTCTGCTGCTGAAGCTGCCGTAGGTGGATGGGCGACGGGGCGGAGCGAAATTGCCCGATGCAGCGGCTTGCAGGTCGTAGGGTTTCGCGTCTTGCTGGGTGCTTCGGTAGGACTCGTCGCTGCTCGCTCGGCTCAACTCTGGTCTCCCAATGGTAGATGGAGGAGATTGCAAGCTGGGAGGGGACATTTGGCCACCGACCGTGACGGAGCTTTGGCTCGCCGTTGCGGGGGAGGGCAATGTGTAGGCTCGTTCGGGTTTCGCTTGCTGATTTCGCTCGTCAGCATCAGTCCAAACTCGAGGTTCTGCGCAGCATACCGTGGGAGATTCCTTGACGCCTCCTGGCTTGCTGACTGAGGCATTCCTCGGAGCCATGGCGGCCGTCACAATGGGATTGAGATTGGTCATGTAGGCGTCCTTGCGCAGCAGCTGGGAGCCCCTCGCCGTATGCCTCTCCTTGTGGCGAGCACACAGATCCTGGCGTACGAAGGAGCGATGGCACTCGGGAAAGTCGCAGTGGTAGATCTGCTTGGGGTTGTCTGAGCGTGTCAGCAGAATTGTAGAAGATGGGACGAAAGTAGGAGCACTCACGATTCAGCTGGTGCCGATACAGATGCTCGGCCCTCGAATAGCTCTTGCCGCAGCCTTCATGGGGACACTCGAACTTCTTGTCCAGACCCTTTCTGCTGCGCCTCCGTTTTCTGGTGCCTCGGTTCGCGTCGCCAGCGTCGGGGCCCTCTCCATTGTTCTCAGCGTCGGCCTCGTCGCGATCGCGGCGGCGTCCCCTGTTCTCGTCGCGGTCGGAAGCGGGCGTTTGAGGCTCGGGGGCACCAGCGGTCGTCTCCATGTTCTGGGGAAAGGACTGTGCAGCTCCAAAGTCGGACGCGTGGGCAGCGTGGGTGGGCAGGATTTGGGCAGTCATGGCGCTGGGAAGGGGATGGGCGGGGCTCGGTGGTGTCACCAAAGGCAGCCAGGACTTGGGGACCAGCTATGTTGTCGTCAAGAGGATGAGGTCGGTCAGCTAGGTCGGGTTAGGTGGTGGTGGTACAGGCGGTGATGGCGAGAATCATGGGGGTGGGGAGAGGCGAGGATGGCAAGACCTAGGGACCGCTGCCTGGCGGAGGGATGACTTGCAGTCGGGATGAGGTCGCACCAAACAGTACCTAGGTATGCGGAGGCGGGAGAAGCGAGGCAGGCCGTCGGCAGCGGGTTCGACAAGTGGCCCCGGGGCCAGTTGGAGAGAGTTTGGGGTTTGGGGTTTTGGGATTTGGGAGCGAGCGTGGGGAAGATGCGACGGTGGGAAAGCGGAAGGGCGGGCCCTCAAAAAAGGGATGGGGGTTGGGATGGGATGGATGGAATCATGGGGGATGGGGGCACATTTGGGCACCTGTTGGGATGGGAGGGAGGGGAGGGGGGAAGCTCGGCCGCGGGAGAACAGAACACTGAACAGGCGGCAGGACCGGCAGGACCCTCAACACCACGGCTTGGGTTAACTGGGTTAACAACTAATAAATATACGGCTTAGCGGGCTGGCAAGCTTGCCCAGGTGTCCCCGAAGGCGGGTCTGATCTCCGCTGTAGCCGCCGCGATGAAAAAGAGGGGCTCAACACCATGTCGTCTGTATGCTTAAGTACTACTGGATAGGTATCCGTATACTCCATAGTCTTCTGGGTTCTCTGTACAAAGGAGCTGTGGTCCAAGATGAGGGGTAATAAGTAGACGCGCGCTGCAGTCAGCATGCACTCCATTATTCAGATGAGGGTTTGTCCAGCCAGCGGAGAAAGTCCAACGAGGCTGGCATCGTGCTATTTCTCCGTATCCCAACCATATCCACGACGGCTCCAAACCACCCAGCGAATCAAGGCCTGAAACAAGGGAAAACTTCGACGCAGGAAATGCACAACGCGCAGGATGCGAAGCATGGTCATATATCGTCTACTGCCTCGTCGTCGAAGTGTGGAGACAGGAAGCGATCCATGGCCCTGCTCCCGCTCGGCGTGGGGGACTCCCGCCCAGTGGCGCCAGTGGAAGTGCATCCAGAGTGGGGGTCGAGTCCTGCTGTCGTGTGCCTCTCCGGTGAATTGCAACATTGTATCTTGCGTGGTAGACAGGACTGAAACCATCGAGCGTTTCGCTGTAATAGACTCTCTCCATGACAAGAGGCCCAAGGAACGTCGTCGACACTGCCTCTCTGCCATCATCCCATCCATCCATCCATCTCCAGCCAGGAGAAGGGAAAAAAACCACTCGCTCCTCCAAGTTGCATCCCTCACTAATTCCTTCACTAATCCACCCCCCCTCCAGCCAATCATGCTCCACCCAAAACCACCTTTCCCCAGATCTCGACAAGCCCGTTCGCCTTCAAACTCCGCTGCCACACGCCCTGCGTCGCCAAGCCCTCCATTGCTTCTTTATTGTGGCGCTTCCACCTTTCCCAAACTTCAGGGAAAAAATGGGCTGCAGATGCCTTTTCCATAGCCTTGTCAAATAACTCGCGCACTGGAAGTTTCGCGCATCCGAAATGGGTAGAGACTAGCCATCACGAGAGAAGAATGTCATGAACAAACTTCCACTTCTTTCAAATTCGCGCCGCCCCGCCTCTCCTCCAAAACGCCTCCGCCCCAAGCCCAACCTTGGAACCTTGGAACCTTCGTTCCCAAGTCCCAGGTCCTGGATGGCCCAAGGCGTTTCCCAGTGGCGTCGACCCAATGCCATCATGTCCATCCAGATCTGTGTCACCCGTGGCCGCCGCCTCATCTCAGGCTCATTATTCCTTTTGGCTTCCCCAAAACATCGAAGCCGGAACATGCACAAGACATTATGATTCCGAAGCCGCATCGAACAATGCTGCATCAGAAGTGCAGGGTGGTCATCAAGGCAGAGATCCCCTGATCAACAATGCATCTGCAAATCAATAATTGGTATCTCTGTACGGAGTGGACTCCATGGATCAATAATCCTGTTCCCAAACAATATTGCTGCCTGTAGCAGGCCCATCAACCACCCTTCCCCGCGCGCGCAATGGGGAAAAAGCCTTCCTGATCGATCCGAGCTTCCGCTTCTAGCTCCCGCCCTTGTTTGCTGGCTCTGCCCCTTCGACCGATACCTCGTCCACGGCAGCAGAATCTCCCTTTCCCTCTCCCCTTGACGAAAACTCTTCCTTCTCCTGCGCTGCCGCAGCATCGGCATCTGCCTCTGCTTTCGCTTCCGCCTCAGTTTCTGCGTCGCCTGCTGGCTGTGGGTCCGGCTGCGGGACCTCTTGCGCATCCGTAGCCTCTGCGTTTGGCGCTTCATCAGCTGATGCCCGTTTCTCATCTGCCTTGCTGGCGCCCGCGGCAGCTTCTTCCTCTCTGGTCTCCTCGGAGGCTGCATCCCCTTCGACTTCACCCAGTTCGGGTTGGTGCGACTGGGGTTCCAACACTGCAGCGTTGTACCCCGGAAATGCTTCTGTGGACGATGGCGGAGCCACAATGCTACTGGCTTGCGTTTTCTGTGCCGTCTCGGAGCTTGTTGCCTCATGCCCTGCCGGTTCTGACGTCTCTTGCGCTGCTACACCCGTGCCCTTGGCCGGCATGCTCTCCTCCTCTTCAGTCTCCTCTATGACGGTGCTAACAGCGGAGCCTGCCGTTGAGGGCGAGTGACGATGGCGCTTCGTCGTTCCCGCCGTGGATAAGGTATGATCCGCTGCACTCTCCACGAAACCGCTTTCTGCCTCCTGCCCTCCTGGAACCGCCTTGTCCCGTTTAAGGATCTCCGGTGCGGCAGCCGCAGCGGCCTGTGGTGCGTCTTCGCCTTCCGCTTCCGGCGGAATCGTGTAGCTATCATCGGGAATCAGTCCGTAGTGGTCGCAGATCGTCTTGAGCAGCATGTAGAGCCCACTTCTCCCTTCGACTTGCCAGAAGACTTCCCGGTGTTGGAACCACGCATGGGCAAATATCCTATACACTCGCCTAAAGATGTTGGTCAAGTGCCGCACCTGTTGGTGTTGGCTGTTCTGGTCCACGCCCTGCCCCAGTCTCGAAGGGAAAATCTTGGTAGATGAGAGGAGGTTGGCCGCCCAGTCCAGAGTGTGACAGCAATAATCGATGGCGCAGCACGGCTTGGGGGGCTCGTGAACTGCGCAAAGATACTGCCACTCCGACGCGCGCATCTCGGGGCAGGTGGCGGATGAGCAGGGTGGATCGTCGCGGAACAGGCCCGTGAGGACCGAGTTGGTGTGTTTGGTGATGAAGCGGCACAGCTCGTACAGCCATATGGTCTTGTCGACGTCTTTCGGAGGCACCGCCAGCTGGAGGGCTTTTTCTCTGTTGATTGCAGTCGTCGTATGAGGGTCCGGGTGGGTGAGCGATCGGTATTTGGCTTCGAGCCAGTCTCTGGGCTCAGAAGCTGGGTTTAACTGTTGCTACTGTTAGTCAGAGGTGAAATCAAGAGAAAAAAAGACGTGCCTGCTCAATATCGGGTAGATTTGGTGCTTGGTCTACCTCTTCTGCCTTGGCCCCAGGCCGTATCCGTCGTCCAGACCCAGTATCGAGGTCGCCGGATAGCATCTGCTGGTCCCCAGCTGCAGCTAGAAGGGGAGATTTGGGGCCGAGCTGATCTTCTGGGATGGGCGGTGGGCTCGGAAGCCGGGGCGAGCTCGAGGGAGATCGAGCCGTAAACGACATTACTGATATTATGTGATAGTTGAATGGTGCCGTGGAAGGGGTGCAATCGGCGTGCGCAGAGCGAATGTTGTTGTGGAGGTGGAGCGTCGGATGTGTCTGATCAATTGATGTCAACCAGAAAGCTCGGGCCGCTAGCCTCTAGCATGGACCGGGGTTCTATCTGATGGCGCTAAAGGAACCGCATACTGTGGTATCAGGGGTAAATATTTGACATTCGCCACCAAGGAGACAGGGGTAGGGCACGGGCCATGGAACTGCAGAGAATCTGCCAAGGGTCA